GAAAAAGGAGAGTGGTGTCTGACCAGGTGAGTAACCCTAAAGGGAGCTCTTAACATACAAAGATATACTAGGAAGAGGAAAGTTCCTCCTTCTGGAAATAAAGAGTGAAAAATCAGGAAACCAGAAAGTGCCACTAGCAGGGAGAAAAGGGTGCTAATGTAGGATTTCTGTGGAGCAAAGTAGCAACAACAGGTGAGACTCAAATGATGAAGTGAGAAGGAATATTTCAATCCTCCCTCCTCCTCCCTACCACCCTTTTTCTGCTTCCAAATCTCCCTCTGACCCCCATTCCCAGATGCAGGACACAAACGCACACATACACACAAATCTCTTCATTGTTTTAAAAAGGAATTCATGACTAATAACTACTCTTGAATTCAAATCAAGGGGCTGCCAATGTCAGTGTAGTATTTTAAAAGTACTGGGTTCGTGACCCGCCTGGGCAGGCGAGACGTCATCTCTACAATAAAAAAAAAAAAATTAGCCGGGCATGGTAGTGCACGCCTGTAATTCCGGCTACTTGGAAGGCTGAGGTGGAAGGATCGCCGGAGCCCAGCAGGTCGAGGCTGCGGTGGCCGGGAGCGGCCACTGCACTCCAGTCTGGGTGACAGAGTGAGACTCCAACTCAAAAAAAATAAATAAAATTTAAAAAAATAAAAATACTTTGCTGTAACCTGTGTGAGTAATGTATAAAATTTGGGTTGGAGAACATAAACTGGAAGACTGGAGTCCTCATGTCCCAGAACTACAACATTCCAAATGAGCCTACATTCCCCTGGCTATGTATTAACCAATGATCATTTATTTGTTAAGATATTTACTTTAATATTTCTGAATAAAACTCCTATTGTTCGTGTAATATTTTCATAGGTAATCATGTGTGAGTAATACTATTAACACTGATTTATACAAATATTTTATGTAAATTACGTGATTCAGTTTAGCCTTTCTGCTGTCACTTTTCTCTGTGCTAACAAGTAACTAATGTCTGGTCATTGATTTCTTGTTGAATCAAGGTTGGATTTAGAGAATAGCTGCGTGCACTCGCTGTTTAAGATTAAATAAGAGATTAAAGAAGAAATCTTGTACAAGTCTGACTTTTCCATATAACTCTTTTTTCTCCTGAGAATTGTATTTTAATGTAGTTTATAAGTAATAAAATGATCCTTTTGTCCCATAAAAACCCAAGCCTTCCCTTCAGCTTTCCACACTAGTTTCTGTAAATGTTTTAGTTGAGAATTTAATGCTTGTACAGTAAATGGCAATTTAAAATATATATATTATATATGTATATGGAAAAACTTTAAAAATGCTTTTAATTTATTTAATGACTGTTGCCTTCTTATAATGGTAATAAATTTCATCCTTAGATGATGAGAAAAACTTCTTTTTACTATAGTTATTAGATGCAAAATGAAATTTTGTTCTTTAGTCAAATCCACTTAAAGGGCATATCATGTGAATCTGTGAAGGATGCTTCACTACCATTGTATAAGCTTTGCTGAATTTGTATCATTGTCTTTCACTAATGAAGAACTATTCATTATACAGTATGGAAATAAAAATTGCTGCATTGACCATTTCTCCATTTTGTTCTCCTTATTGGGAAAGATGATATTGCTAACTTGTTTTCAACTGCACTGCACTTTAAAAAAGGTAATAAAGTTTAGGCCCAGTTTGAACATTTCCTAAGGGTATCATGAATGTTGCAGCATCACCGACTATTAACATGACATGATTAACATTGTAGACAATATTGAAATACACCCATAAGGAGATAGATCTTATATCTTCCAAATTTGAGAAATTCAACAGGAATTGTTTCACTATTTTTTCTTTTGAACCACAAATTTCACATTTTATATTTGAACATTTTTCCATCCCTTCCTCTCTCCCTCCCTCCCTTTCTTTCTTCCCTCTATCTTTGTTTGAGTTGGAGTCTCACTCCATTGCCCAGGCTAAAGTACGTGGCAACCACAGCCTCAACCTGTTGGGCTCAGGCAATCCTTCTGCCTCAGCCTTCCAAGTAGCTGGAACTACAAACACATACTACCACACCTGGCTAAATTTTTAAATTTTTTTGTAATGTCCTGCTATGTTGCCCAGGCTGGTCTTGAACTCCTGGACTCAAGTAATCCTCTCACCTTGGCCTTCCTAAGTGTTGGAATTACAGACATGAGTTACCATGCCCAGTCAATATTTTTTCTTGATGTCTGACTCACTATTTGGACAATAACTTTCTTTTATCAGACATTATTATTACTATTTCCTGACCATTTTAGGCTAACAAGACCCTAAATTTACTAAATTCAATCACATTTATAAAAAGAACTGAGGTTAAGAAATAAAATATGCTTTCATATTATTTTCACTCTTTTAATCTTTTTCTGTTAGACTCATACTTTCATAATATTTTTTGTTATTTTGATCCATCTCTGTTAGACTTTGATGTTTGCATTTTGGAGCTGCAAGTTACATTCAGAGATCATCTTGAAAAAGTCCCTTTGCCTCCCAGTGCCTCACATATCTCACCTAAAAAAGGGGACAGTAACTTTTCTGCCTGGTAATGTTTTACAAGGTTTA